CACCGAGCACCGGCTCCAAGAGCACGGCCGCCGTCTCGCTCGGCGCCGACTGCGACGCCAGGACGTGTTCCAGCCGTGAGAGACAGTAATCCGACAGGTGCTCGTCATCAACGAACTGGAGGCCCGAGTCGGCGTGATTGAGGACGTACGGGAACGGCGCGTAGAAAACGCCGCCGGGGAGCGGTTGATAGCCGGCGCGGTAGACGGTCTTGCTGCTGGTGAGCGCCATCGTCATCGCCGTGCGGCCATGAAAGCCCCCTTCGAGCGCGATGACGTTCGGCTTACCCGTCGCGGCCTTCGCAAGCTTCACCGCGCCTTCCACGGCCTCGGCGCCGGAGTTAGCGAAGAAGAACGTATCGAGACCTTCCGGTAGCTTCGGCCGCAAGAGGTCGGCCAGCTCGATCGCCGTCTCGGGGACGACGCAGTTCATCTGCCCAAACAACAGCCGCTCCGCCTGCGACCGCACCGCTTCGACGACCACCGGGTGGCAGTGCCCCGTGTTGGTCACGCCGATGCCGCTGGTGAAGTCGAGGTAGCGTTTGCCGCTCTTGGCGTAGAGGTACGCTCCCTCGCCACGTTCGATGACTTCGCAGACGACCCGGGCCCACGCGGGAGAGAGGCAAGCGAGCGGGTCGGTGTTAACTGGTGCGTGCATCGCTTTTTGTCCCCCTCCTTTTCAGGGAGGGGCTAGGGGAGGGTCTGAACGCTCATTGCGGACGACCTCCCTAGCGTAGCAATACGCGGACCCTCCCCTAACCCCTCCCTGAAAAGGAGGGGAACTCAACGCGCTTACGCTTCTTCGATGGTGCGTTTTAGGAGCGGTTTGTACGTGTCGATGCGGCGGTCGCGCAGGAAGTGCAGCAGCTCGCGTGACTCGCGGACGCGGCCCAGCGGCAGGTCCGCTAGCAAGACCTGCTCTGTGCCGTCGGCTTGGGCGATGATCTCGCCGAACGGGTCGCTGACGAAGCTCTCGCCGTAGAACGTCATGGCTTCTTCCGTGCCGACGCGGTTCACCGCCGCGACGAAGACGCCGCTACAGATGCCGTGCGAGCGGATCACGGTCCGCCACGCCTCGGCCGAGCTGTAGCCGGGCCGGTCGGGTTCGGTGCCGATCGCCGACGGGTAGAACAGCACCTGCGCCCCCTGGAGGGCCATGATCCGCGCGACCTCGGGGAACCACTCGTCCCAGCAGATCGCGACGCCGATCTTGCCGAACCGCGTGGCGAACGTCTTGTAGCCGAGGTCGCCGGGCGTGAAGTAGAACTTCTCGAGGTACTGTGGCCCGTCGGGGATGTGCGTCTTGCGGTACTTGCCGAGGTCGACGCCGTCGGCGTCGAAGACCACGACCGAGTTGAAGTAGACGCCCGGTTGCGCCTCTTCGAAGATCGGCACGATCAACACGACGCCGAGCTCTGCCGCCAGCGCGCCGAAACGCTCGGTCGTCGGCGAGGGCAGCGGCTCCGCGAGCGCGTAGCGCTCGACGGCGACCTCCTGCGGGAAGTAGGCCGCGTCAAAGAGCTCCTGCAAGCACACCACCTGCGCGCCGTCATCGGCCGCCTGACGGACGTAGGCCTCGGCGCGGTCACGCACGGACTCTCGCGACCCACTACAGGCCATCTGCACCAGGGCGACGCGAACCGTTGAGTCTGGTTTCATCGATTCAAAAGAAAAAAGAATGGAACGCGGATGACGCGGATGAAAAGGATAAACGCGGATTGCTTCTTGAATTGTATCCGCGGCTATCCTTTAAATCCGCGTCCATCCGTGTCCCATTCTTCGGAACCAAGTTAGACAGTGTCGCGAGGCTCCACGTCGACCGACACGACCATCGTGTGCGAGCCACCGCCGACGAAGACGCCTTGGATGGGGCTGATGTCGGCGTAGTCGCGGCCGATCGCGACGGTGATGTGATCGGTTCCCGGGATGCAATCGTTCGTCGGATCGAAATCCACCCAGCCGATGGCGCCGCAATAGACGCTCAGCCACGCATGTGACGCGTCGGCGCCCACCAACCGAGCCTTGCCCGGCGGCGGGATCGTCCGCAGGTAGCCGCTCACGTACCGCGCCGCGAGCCCCAGCGACCGCAGGCAGGCGATCTCGACGTGGGCGAAGTCCTGGCACACGCCCGCGCGAGCGTTAAACGCATCCAGCACTGGCGTGCTGACGGTCGTCGCCCGGGGATCGTACTTGAAGTCGGCGTGGATGCGGCTGGTGAGGTCGCGAGCGGCGTCGAGGATCGGCCTGCCGGGAGTGAAGGATGTCGACGCGTAGTCGCGCAGGGTTGCGTTCCGTGGGACGTGCGTGGAGGGAAACGCGAAGCGATACGCCTTGGTGGCGTCGGCGTCCCCCGGCAAGCGGAACGAGTCCCGCACGGTCTCCCACGGGAGAGACGTCGCCGGCAGCAGCGGCTGCTCATGGACCTCGACGTCGCTGATCGCCGTCAGCGTCAGGGTTTGATGGGCCCGTTGAATCGAAAAGAACTCGACTCGGTTGCCGAACAGGTCCGTCCGCTTGGCGCAGTCCGACGGGTCGGGGGACACGATTAG